GTATAACTTTGTGAATTTACCAAGCTTGGTAAATTCACAAAGTTATACTTTTTCCTTTTCCAACATTTTCCAAAAAATATGTTAATATATAAATTTTTCAGTGATACTCAAGTAATTTTATTAAAAGTTTGTAAAATGTATGCCCATTTATTTACTAGCATTTAGTTTTAGACCATATTTACTAACCAGCCTCAATGCTTTTAAATTGTAAAGTTATTTATATTGTTGTTTATAGCTAACAGAAAAAGCCATACATTTATTTATAATGATGAAAATGAGGCCTTTTGTTTCATAAAACAACATGAATTAGAGTACACAGTTCGCTATGTATTTGTGTAAAATAAATTGTGTTATATCTAGATGTTCATAGTAAAAAGCACAAAGTGTTATGGGAAAGTGAAGGATGCTATGCAAATGTTCCATTTATGGTTTTAGCACGCAAGGTTTTGGATTGCTCACATGGAATAGATCGTAATGATGCAGCAAAGAAAGCATACAAGAATAAGACAAAAACAAAGGTAAATTTTATTATCAATAAAAAAAGATACAAATAATAAATTAATCATTAATAAATAACTGTTATTAATGTACTTATTTTATAATTTTAGATAACTGAACACTCTTGTATGAGGAGTTATATTAATGTGCAGGACACAAAAAAATTTGAATGCCCAGCCCAAGTTATTTTGAAGGAAATTATATACTTCAAGGATTACATGGTAATTTTAAAGTGATTTACTAAGATAATAAGAATTTTTGGTACTATATATAATGCACCAACATTAAAAAAATTTTAAGAATAGCATTTTAAACATGTTTTGTAATTTATAATTCACGCCAATATTAGAACTACTTTTAATTCAACGCAAAAAGAGTGCAAAGCCATATAAGTAAAACACACTCGCAGCGTTGTTTTAATAAGACAAAATTGAGATGTAATTTATTTAAATGCAGGTCTAGACCGGAGTTTTAGTAATGCTTATTATGTTTTATTTGAACATACTTCTATCCATGTAACTTTTTTTTTTTGGACATATCACTGCATAAACTGTATAATTTTTTTGGGCATGTCACTGCATAAACTGTAACATTAATTACCTCTTTTTTGTTTATTTCCGTTTTCATAATTTTAAACCTTGCTGAACCCAACACATGGAAAAAGAGAAAAATTTCTTTAAAAATAAAAAATTTGCTCAAGAACAAGAGCGACATTGGATTCACTGAGAAGCGAATTAAGCTAATTATTGATGACATTTCAGAACACAGAAACCATGCTGTTAGAGAAGTAAGTTAAATTTTATTATTAAATTGTTTATAAAGTAAATGTTTTGAAAAATTTAGAAATTATTTTTTTTTTTTTCAAAAAGAATTTTTGATAAATATTTAGCTATTCACTTTTAAAGTCATGTAGCTGTTGGGTATAAGTTAAGTATTATAGTATAGTATACTTTAGTTAATATAGTTACTATACTTACCAAATTGTAAGATGATATTTTGCATGGATAATATTGTTTAATATGTCAATTAAAATACACCAAGTATTATCATTAGTGGTATACCACTGTATTGCAGTTGAGGTTGATGTGAAAATTAAAGTGTTCAAAATGTTTATTATAAATTATTATAATAAACATTTTGATAAATTATTATAATAAACATTAATTATAAATTATTAAATCATAATTTTACAAATAAAATAGCATGTTTATGTATTGGGCATCGCTGGAACTTTTATTTATCAACCTATTTTCCTTGCGTATCAATGTTTTTGTATTTTATACCATTATGTTGTCTGGGACAGATTCATTTATTGATGACATCATTGTCAATAATAACATAATGTCGAGTTGCAGAGTTCAAGAACTCTTGAAAAAATATGGCTTGGATTCTAAGCTGCCAGAAAAACTTGTTGGTGGGCGTGTGCTTGGATTGCGAGTGTACAAACAATGCAACCAAGTGCGCTGGAAACGTGACAACATACTCAAAGTTCCTGATGGAAAAATGACGCGTCCGCAAGTCTTTTCTTGGTGCGGACAGCTGACTGGACATTTTCCAATAGCAAATTGGTTGCGCCTTTGTGCAGCTATCTAAAAAGGGTTTCGAGTAGTTGTGGATGGGACACTTTGGTGAACAATGGTGTTGTCAAATTAGTAAGCAGTTTAAATGAAAGACTTACAAAGGAAGATCCGGTTCATGGGTCATGGAACGTAAAAAACACTTCTGAAGTAACAGTGTGGTGCGATGCAAGCAGTTTAGCTGTTGGCATAGTTCTGGAAGTGGTTAGGGAAATAGTAGAAGACTACTCGTGGCTGAGAAAACAAGATGATGCGGCTCACATTAACCTCGCAGAGTTAGAAGCTGTGATAAAAGGAATCAATCTACCAACAAAATAGGGATTCGAATGTATTACCATAAAGTGTGACTCGACTACTGTTGTTGGCTGGTTGAAATCCTTTTCAAAAATTAAAAATAAAAATTATTTTTAATTTTTTAGCTTGCTGGTATTTCACAGGAAATTGATCCTAGATTATCTAAAAAAATAATAGATTATGCCAATGAAGTAAAAAGTATACACGAAATGAAACGCCTACTAAAAATCTTTGTTAAAAATGACATGTTTGATAAAACATCTATGCCTGATTTAAGAAATAGGTGATTTTTCCCTACCAACAACATTATTCGATCGCATATGGTACAAGCACGAAAGAAATTACAACTTTCTTTTATTGACCAGGAATGCCTTCATGTTAAAATAAAAACGTGGCAAAATGAGGATCCATCAGTAAATATTTTTTTGCGACCTAAAAACAACTACACATTAAATAACATAGCAGACAAAATACATAAAAATGAAGACATTAATGAAGAAGAAGATGATTTGAAGTTTACTGAAAATGATTCAGAAAAATCACTATTATTTGTTTACCAATCAGAATGGCAATGCAAACTCAATTTTTATTCAATTTTTATTGAACTTAAAGAGCCATTTTAGTTATTACTAAAATTTATGACTAATATTGAGTAATATTAGTCATTACACGAGATCTCGAAATACAGCAAAAGTGCACCTAACAAAAATACACCTACAGCAAAAATTTGATAGAATGATTTCACACCCGAACAAGTAATTTTGCATCCCTTTGAACAATTTTAGAAACTGCTAATTCAATGGTCTTTTCCAATGGAATATTAGTGAATAAACTTTCAACATCAAAAGAAATTAAAAAATTATTACTGAAATTGTGTAATTTTAATTCTTCAAGAAAAGTAAAGGAATCTTTTGATGATCAATACACAGTTTGACTAAAGTACTTAAGAATGTAGGTAGTTTATAATAATAGGCATAATGAAGAAATAATAGGTCTGAAATTAGGAGTTTGTTCAAACTTTTTACGTGCTGGTTGTGATTGTCTTGGATAGATTTGCTTAAATTGCTTTTTAGTAAAAAAAGTTGTTTATGTAATTTCTGTAGCAAACATTATAATTGCCCTTGTCTTAGTAGATTAGGATCTTTGTCTTGTAACTACTTTTTTTTTCAAGTATTCTTAAACAAAATAAAAATATAGTTATTTTAACACATGATAAAGGTAACTGAGATAAAGGTAAATGTTTATAAATTAGTTTAAATAAAATATACTTATATAAACTTTTATTACATTTTTAGGATATAATGTTAGCTAATTCCTTTTGATGCTGAGTTTCAGTCATGATTTTGAGAGCTTAACATCAAAACCTGATGTTTAACTTTTGAATCATAAACTGAGAGTCAATACAATATAAGATTGCAAATCATGAAAATGTCAACTGAGAAAAAGAAAGACCTAATAAAAAATCGGAAATTAGAAGGTATATTTTGTTATTTTTTATTTGTTTG